ATTTACGAGCTTTACGAGGCTTTGACCAGTATAAGGGAAGACCCCTATTGTAAATATGTATGTGCGTAGAATGCTGCTGCTATTTCCAGCACAATAGCAACAACAAGAATAGCAAAAACTTAAAGTCTACATACATACATACATATGTTAATATATGTAGAGCAAATGCGAATAGCGCCACTAATTTTGTATGCACGTAGATATATTTATTTATTTACTTCTTCACTTTTGCCATTTTAATTTTATTCTACTTTAGCTGCTCGCAAATGAATGATTTTTAGTCGTTTCAATTATTTTTTATCGACAGCACTACATGCAATGTCTTTAAGCGAGCACACTTATTGTACATGCAATATGCAACATGCAACATGCATTCTGTGTATTGAGCTTCAGTTGACTGCACATATTATTCACTTGCACTTACAAAAAAACATCGACAAATAAATGTCTATATAAAAACAAGATATTTATTATTCCGATTTCGTTTTGATATATCGATGGTGGCTTTGTGGAGCGTGTTGCCATTGGACATTTTGGTAAATTAGTATTTTCAATATTTGACAGCGGCTAGTAGGCTAATGAGCTTCTTTCAGATACAATAATTATTCCAATTTTAAGTAACAATTTTACGAATCTTTCAGCATTAAGGCTGGCTTCCCTATATTTGAACGAAATATTTAGCAGCGCTAATATATATAAAATCTTCCGTAAAGTCTTTCTCTCGAAAACTGTAAAGGCCGCCTCATCAGATGTTGACATTCTACATGCTTCTGCTTCATACTGACATGATGACTGACTTCTTACTTACATATATGTATGTAGTGCAGGTTTTTAGCTAGCCTTTACAAAATGTGCTCACTTAAAAGATTTTATTTAAAATTTTTTATAACTAAATCCAATGGAGTTCGTGGATACATTTTGTATACAATTTTTGAAATGAGCCACTGAGAGCTTTATGATCGCTTATGGGGCGTCGAAATTAGTCAGTGAATTCCTTGTTTTGCTCTCGGATGTCTTGGAATACTTTCAAATTATGCCCGCTCGGGCCCCGACTGATGTATTTGCTAGACAGGACACCCTTACGAGCTCCCCTGTTAGACAGCGTACAGGAGTTCCCAGGAGTTTTGCACTACAAAATTTGATTGGGGTGTTCACAACGGTGTCGTTATGTTGTCTGCCATAAATTTAAACGACTAAAAATATATTGAGGGGGTTCGAAAGGTACCAGAAAAATCATATTATGAAATTTCGCGGTATTAAAAAATAGTTGGTTGTGGTTTTAAGTCCTCTAAACATTTATTTAATATTTTAAAGTTGACGACATAAAAATATACTACACTTAAGACATGTAGTAACATCGTTGTGAATACCACAAATATACTCGCAAAACTCTGGGCCCAATATAGTAAACTTGTTTCTTTAGCTTTTCTCTTTACTACAGGATTTTTTTTAAGGACTTTGTAATTTGAAAGATATGACTAATTTAAAAAATTATTCCAAAAATTCAGCACAGTGTAGTATAACAACTTCTATTGAGAAAAGAGAAAACCCAGTGGAATGAAAAAAACTTTTGGTACATAAAAACGAATTTCATGGTAAAAACACACGACCAAATCATGCAATTTCATCTTGATTAGCGTCAAAAATAGAATTATTTAAAAGGACATTTTTCAATAGGGTAATTTCCAAACGAAGTGCTATTTTTTTGTTCCATCTTTTTACATTTTTTTAAGGTGGTAAAAACGAAAAATCAAAAACAGTATTATACGATTCAAATAATAAGCCACCAACAAAGCTGCTTTTTTTATTGTAAACCATTTTGCCTTCTTTTGCGAACGGCATTTCTTTGATATATTTTACCTACTGCATATAAAAATATTTGTTCCCGCTCGAGTTATTCGATAATCAAACAAGAAAATACGTTTAAATAAAGAAACAATGAAAAAGGCTTAAATAATTGTGAATGACTGCCTTAAATATTATTGTTTTAGTCTATTTTTGACCGAAGAATTTTATCAGCATAAGCGTGGCTTTCTGATCAGTCATTTGCATCAATAATCTTCTAAATTACTACGTAGATGACGTCTGGAAACGCTTGAGTAGAAGCTGTGACGTGTAAAGAAGCTCTTGGCTATGGGAAACCCAGAATATGTAAGTATATACGTGTACAAAAGTTTCTATGTAGATACTTATGGCAAAATAAAATAAATTCTACTAATGGAAAAATTTCGAGATTTTTTTTTTGGTTAAATAAATATTGTTGTTAAGTTTAGCGTACGTACAGCAACGTATGAAACTAACATAAAATCGAATCAAAATAAAAAGGCCAGAGAAAATGATCGCAAGTCGCCTAAGAGGTCAGTTAAGGGCTTCTCGTCGCGATACTGCACTAAAACTATAAAGAATAAATAATATAAAAAAAACTTTTTAATATACAACGCTTTTATAAATGGACTAAAAAGTAGAAAATAATA